AAATGTTTTTTTTTTATTGTTCAACAGGCTGAGGAGATTATTCAAAATATCTTCTCTTCCTTCAAGTCCAAATTACATGAGATGGACTGGACAGATCAGACATCTTTCCAATTTGTTATGAAAAAGGTAATATATGAAGCAAGAATATTATTTCTATTTTTCATTTTGAAATAATTCTGATACCAGTTAAACTGTCTTCATCAAGGTCCAGTCTTTAATTCCAAGGCTTTGGACTACAAAAGAGATTTTGAGTGAAGCTGAGCTTGACCTGCTTTTCTCTAAGGTACATTACAGAATTCCAATGGCTCTAACAGATTACAGTAGATGTTTAGAGATGGTACCCTTTTTATTTGATGCCCTTGCTCTTTATCCCAGCCAGTTAAACCCTAAAGAGACACACCAAACTCACTTAAAGAATAAAGCTATTATTTTCTGTATTAACAGTATTTTGAACGAGTCGCATAATAATAATAATAATAATTAACCCCCTTCCTTTTTATAATAATAATAATCATTATTATTAGAACAGCCTCTACTTACGGTTTATGTCTGTCAGGGTGTCAAGTCTGGATCAGCTTGTTTGTTTATGCCATAGACCAAAAATGATTAAAAACACTACATTGAAACACACCACTGCACTGGGTAACATACTTACTTCTTCATGAACAAACCCCAGACTCGAGATTGAGGTGCTAGCGCAGTGTAAACAAAGCAGAGAGCTTGTGCAAGATTTCACGCATGTGCATTCTGACTTCTGCTAACTTCAGGAAATTATGGCCAGATGGGAGACTTTGGGGCAGCATAGTGGGGTCAGGGGTTTTGTAATGAAAAATGTGTCATCCAGTGCATCAGTGTGTTTTGCTGATGTGTTTTTAATCATTTTTTGAACAGCGATATATCACACAGATGAACAAACTAATCCAGGATTAACACACTGACAGACATGGCAAAAACTCAAATAATCAATTCAACACATGGTATGTTATTATCTCTTATGAGAGTATATAAATGGCCAATATGCTTTCAATGTAAAGCCAAGAGTCCATGGATCTAGCCTTTAACCCACAATTTGTATGATTCCAGGTGACAATCAGCAAACACAGCTTCTTCTTCAACTATGTCCAGCTACTGTCCCTGTGGCAAAAGAGACTCAGTAAACTCCTGAGTGAGCAGACTGATGTGGCTGATGTGTGAGTATTTGCCTCTACTAGGCTGAAAATGTAAATGTTTTGAGCATGTATTGAATCTTTCTTCATGTCTTTCAGTTTGTCACTGACACCAGTTCTCCAGGATAATGAGCTCCTCTTTCCCATGGGAATGTTTGCTCCTCCTCTTTTCCATCCAACCTATCCCAGGTTAAATATACACTCATATTAAAAGCACTGTTAATGGTTTTTCATATTATACAGTACAAACTATTGAACATTATACTATATAGTTTTGTTCTTTTTTCTAACAGGGCAATGAATTATGCTGTAATGGGTTTCCTTATTGCCAAAGATATCCTCCACCTGCTTCTGCCTGACAGTAAGAGCAGCTCATGTTTACTCTCCACTTACATACACAGCAAATTACTTTACAGTTTTCAGACATAATAACAGCTTTCTCTCAACTCCCCTCTCTGGATTGTTTACTGCAATCTCATTTCCACCTCTTTGTGTGTTGTAGTTTACTCCCAGAGTGAGATGGTGCACACTGTGGGGGAATGTGTGTGGGATCACTATCTCACAGTGACAGAAAAAGTAAGCAGAGGTAGGACGTTATTTCTCTCAGCAGCACAGCAGCAGGAGGTGTGGGTGCAGTATTCCGCACTGCAGATAGCGTTGCAGGTGAGGAGCCTTCTTTCGGCTTTAGTCTCAGTGTGTAACAACATTAAGCTCATACATCCACATTTTGTACACCCTCTTTCCTCAGGCTTATCATCAGAGTCTTAAGAACCACCCGAATGACACCTCCATTTCGGGATTTTCATACACTCATCTGTTTCTCTCATCTTTTTCTCAGGTAATGTACTTTAATATTTCTCTCTTTATCTTCTTTCCTCTCCACTACTGATCTAATGCCTTTTAATGTATTCTTCTGCAGGTTAACTGTGCCTCTGACCCATATCATGACCTCATGCCCTTGGAACCCTCCTTCTTGATTACCGTCATTTGTGCCAAATCTAACCTGTGTCCTAGAAACCTACAGTGCCCTAGTAAAACCCAGCAGCATTTATTACAAAAATGCTGAATAGTCCTCTGAAGACCAGCGGCATTATTTATTGCAAAATATACTGAATGTCTTAACAAAAATACATTTGTGCTGAAGAAATAAAGTAAGCACCCTGTGGACATCGGCAAACGTCTGTTTCAAAGAAATTTTGTATTTACCCACAAGAAACACTGAGATTTTTAGCCTTGGTTGCTGTTAAGATGTATTTGCATTGCTCCATTAATTGCACAAGCCGTATAGTGTACATTTAAATAAACAAGACACTTGAAAAATTATTTTCATGTTTCACTTTCTGAGATTGATGTACTTAGATCCCATGCAACTCCATAACAAGTCAAAGTCCAGCATTCAAAATTCTATTGCAGGTTTAGCAGAAATAAAATATAGCCTATATAAAAATAAAAGTGTCTGTTCTGCAGTAAAATGTCCCGTGACTATGACATTAATAGATGTTTACTACTGATGGAGCAGCATATTTCTTTTTTTACTTTAGGTTAGACAGGAATCCATATATTTTCCCTTCTCCACCGTGCTGTAACGGCATTTCACTCTGAACTCTTCTCAGGCTATATGAAACCAAATTATGCACTATTTATTTATACATTTTTTTTATTTATATATTGGTTCATAATCCAAAGCTGAAGAATTAGTTGGTAAGGATACAAAAACAGCCATGCTTCTGCATGGAAAGGGAACACAGTACAAAAATGAAAGTGTATTCCACATGGTGGCCAAACACCATCACAGACGCACAACAAGATAACTGTCTGCAGTCCCGAGCAACATTTCGGTCAAAATCATTCTTAGTCCACTGATAAAATGTAGTCTCCTTTATCATCAGCAGTCCATTAGGTGTTTGTCACAGGACACCCCAGACCTCCTCAAAAGCAGAACAGATCTTGGCACAGGTCAATGCCGCAGAGAGTGGGTAATTACTGATGGACACAGACTTCTCTGTGTAGTCCACATTCACCTACAGTAATAAAACAAATCAGTATCACAAATAGCTGGTACTTAAAGTATTGAATCTGCCATTACCTAGAGCCATTTCTCACCGCTCCATGTGCAAATGCTCCGACCACCACTGCAGCTGGCCCCTCTGGCGCCAGAGACCGGGGGCAGACAGCCTCTCCTGCAGAGAAGGAGGTGGCGATTCGAGGACAGCCAGGAGGCAGGTGGTCAGACACTGGGTTTTTAATCATCCTCAGAAGCTTCTGTGGACCATCTGCCGCCCTGACACTCAGCTTATGGAGCAGCTGAACTGAGATAGAAGAAGACAAAAGAAAAAGATGAGGAGCAGCTGAGGAGGAAGTTAAGATATGAAACCATGATGCATAAAGACCGGCTGTATAATATATGCAGTATAAATATAAAACAATCATAGTAGTAGTTTACCCATGAGGCCACAGAAGCGTGTGAATGTCCTTGGGATGCGGGTCTGTGGGTTGATCTCTATTAAGGCATTTTTCTCTGTGTGGATGTAAACCTGCAGCAGGCCTGCTCTGTTCAGTGGACTGTCCATCAGCATGAGCAGACACTGGTGAAACAAAATATTGCATGAAGTAATTAGTTATTTACACAATGTTTGTGATAAATAACATGCCATCTTTCAAGATTTATGAGTGCTGTAATCACGTCTTAAGAAACATTTTCCTAATCAATAGTCACAAAACAAAATAATATGTTACAATGAGTGTATAGCAACATAAAACACCTAAGCAAAATAATGTGCAACATGACATACAGTATATGGTGTAGTGGCAAAAGCAAACTTAATATAGTTTATACTTATTAAGCCAGTGTTAGCTACATTCTAAGTAAACAGGGAATATTTTGATTACTTACATAAACTCGACTCACATGAACTTAATGACACACACACACACACACGCACACACAAGCTGATATCAAATGTGAGCTACATGCTGTTTGATTACATATTTTGTCTGGAGTCTGATTTACTGCTAACCACCACAGGGATAAGTATGGTCAGAGATAAACTTTTGTGAGGATCTTCTGCATAAACATGGAGTCCAGCGTCCTGTTTTCCAGTAATTCTAGGGGCTTCCCAGAACCGCGGGAGGGGGCCCGCTAGATGTCCAGATTGACATGATGCAGGAGGTTCAAGAAGTAGAAAGGGCTATATAATCAGCTGCAAGGCTGATAAGACAGACGCAGATAGACTCAGACTTGACGAGCGTGTGGGTGCATTTGGGGGGACTTGAGAAGACAGACAAAGACCCCAAACTCTGCAGAGATCCACAACTTCAGGTGATTCTGTTTCTCTCCCTCTGGAATTTACATTAACATATATTGTTCAATAAATGATGATTGGCACTGCAGTGATTCTCCCTGTGAATTAATTCTATACACGACAATGGGATTCAAATCAAGTCCACCTTTTTTTTTTTTTAAAGACCATCATTATTACTTTACCTAACTGACTATTGTATGGAATGAGAAATTATACCAATTACACCAACTGCCCAATTGGACAAACACTGGGAGGAAAAAAATGCATTAATACTCCTACTGTTTTAAAGAGCTGGTTACCCATATTATGATAATATACTGCAGTGGTGCATCTCAAAGAGGCTAAGCCGCCAATACCAAGAAATTTTACATTCTTTTCATGCAGCAAGGACTTCTATGACAATATTTCTTATGAGGCTGTTATCAATATTTATATTTGAGTTTAAAATGAACCATATACTGGTTTGTATGTGTTTGATTTATTTGATCATTTTTGATAAGCGTTGAAACGTACTGAGTGGTATAATTTACAGCTGAATGTATTTATGAAACGAGTGCTTACCTGATGTGTGATGTCTGGTCTTATATGTCCTGGATCTCTTCCACTTTTTACAATAATATTTTTGTGTTGGTCGCAGTTTAACAGCTCAAACGTTTTTCCAACCTGTAAAATACAAAACATTCAAACAATATATAGTGATGGGTATAAACTAATTCCTTGTGTTAGTTACTTAAATGTATAATTACTGATGTCACTTCCACTTGTGGCAGGTAGGAACTGCATCACAACAAACACAATCCTGCAGTTTTACCTTCACAGTTTCTAACGATGCCCCCTCCAGAATGATAACCAGTCTCCTCTCTGCCATACGATCGTGCAGACTACGGAGGTATTTGGCTGGTTTGGGTTCATACTGGTCCAAATGTTCAAGACCACGCTTCTTTTCATTAGATACCGCCATGACACCCTCTGCTGGAAGTCGCAGCATGTGTACGTCACGATAAAAGTGCGCGTTCACGACTTGGTGTTGGTCAACAGACAAATTCAAAGACGTATCTAGCCATTATTTAATTGTCCTTCTGCAACAATGTAATTTTTTACTTGCAACATTATGTCCAAACAAGTTTTGAATATAAAGACTCCAAGACATATTGTAACCAGTAAGTGCGTATTGTTTTATTTTAATGGAGATCTATTTCTGTGACATTATACATGTTCTGTGACATGTATACATACATACATTCTCTTATTATATTCTTATATATTTTTATTATATCTCTTGATTTGCTGCTTTAAAGTGCCTTCGATTTTGTGTTACTTATTTATCTACTTTATCTTTCACTTGTATTGTGTGGCATTCATGTGGACGGCAAAGTAAGAATTTCATTGTACAGGGAAAAACGTTTCCGTACTGTGCGCATGACAATAAACACTTTGAGTTTGACTTGACTTTGAATTATATGTAATTATACCTGTATGCGTGTACGTGCAGTTGTCTCTACCAGCGCGACCATTGCTGCGTCACTCGTGTGCGCCGGATATTCCTCTGCAACGTGTTGAAGGAAAATTCACGTGTGAGCATTTTCTCTTGCACCGTGCAGTTAGAAGTTGGATATTAAAAAAAATAGCAGAATAGTAGGTGAGTATATGAAGAATTGTTGCTGAGATTACAGCATACAGCATTAAGTAAATAAAGTGGCAGTAACCGAGGTCTTAGCATTTTCTTGCTAAAGCGGCATGTGGAGTTGGGTCGACTAACGTTAAGATAAAATCCGTCTGTAAATGGCCATTATTTTGTAGCAACCCTGTTACCCTGAAAGTCTTAGTATCTCGTCTTATTGAACACATAGTTAATTAACACTATGTCTTCAGCAAAAAGTGTCTTAAACTAACGGGGAATAAAAGTAACAGATAACTTTCACTATAATGAATAGTGAACTATTTGTGATGGTTTACTAACATTATAGAAATTGAGCTTGTTCTAATCACGACATAAGTCAGATCTTGAAGATAACATGGTGGATGTGTTATAGAATGGAAGCTGTTATATTGAGTTTTTAGCCCGACACTTATCAGTTCTTTCCGAAACAGTTGGATGTTTCTTTGCTTGACGTTATTTTATTAGCACTCAGAAATGGCTCTTCCCTGACAGAGGTTAACCTTTGTTCATTTCTGAGTGTTTAAGATACTCTCACACCGGCTCTAAAATAAACAGCGCTAGTTTTGTTGCTATTGTCATAAAACATTTATACAGTACGTTGTCATGTGTATGTGGCCAATAAGCGTTAATAACATATACAAGGTTTGGATACACCTTTTTATTCAGTGGCCTTTCTCGGTTTCTGTTCTTTTCTACATTCTACATTGTTGATGAATTCAGAAGACACAAAAACTGTGAATGAGGTGTGTCCAAACATTTGCCTGCTACTGTAGCTAATTTCAGGTAAAATTAAAACACAGCTTTTACACAATTTTCTTAGTTTTTTTCTTTTTCTGTCTATTGTGTCTTATTCACAATTCTCAAATTGTCCCTACATTGTCTGAGATGTAAAAAGCAAATGGTAAAATATAGGCTGCTGCCACAAAATTCCTAAATAATAGTTAGCAATTTCTTTAAGTTAACTACAACATACGGTAATGGTAAATACACATGTGCATAACTTTTATCATGTTGTTGTTCATGCAGTTCATCCTGGTATGAAATACTGCAGCTGTTGTCTTTCAGGCATATTATTCTGATCAGAAAAGATCAATTTCTCAATACAGGACCAGTAGGGGCCTCTGCTTTTACACATTAACTTTGAACTGTGATGTTTTGCACTGGCTTTTGACAAAACCTTGTTTTCTCCTTCTTTTCAAGGTGTCTGTGTAGCTTGGAGTCATGGGTCGGAAGTTGGATCCCACCAGCAAGGTGAAGAGAGGGCCGGGGAAAAAAGCCAGGAAGCAGCAGGGAGCAGAGGCGGAGCTGGCCAAGTTTATAACTGATGGTGATTTTTGTGTCTATTATATAAGCTATTTATAAAGATTCTGGAAATCTATACCTTAAAATGTAACAAGTAGTTTATGTTGGTGACTTCATCATTATGACTTGTTTGTCAAAGTGTTCTTTCTGTTGCAGAGGATACTGGAACAAAGCGCCTGTCAAGAAGAGCCAGGAAAAGGTAAAAAGTTGACCGATTACTTGCATAATATGAAATAACATCACATTGTTTACAAGGTGCTCAGTCAAATTGTCATTTTACAGACTTGCACAGAGAGTCCAGAATGTACAAAAGTTTAAAGATGCTGCTGAGGAACAACCCAAGAAAGGTAACTACATCAGTGCCAGTGAATGTGGTTGTGTCATTGCCTGTATACACAAGTGTAGACAATTACTAACAAGTACCTGCATTGAATGTGATGATGTGAATGTACCTTTGACTAAAAGGAATGCATCAGGAACTACTGTGTATTAAAAGCCAAGGCAAATAAATATGTTTTAAGCAATGATTTAAAAATAGTGAGGTCAGTAGCTGATCTAACATTAAAAGGTAGACTATTCCAGAGTTTAGGGGCTGCAACAGTAAAAGCATGATCACCCCAGTGTTTTTATCTGGCCATAGGAACCTCTAAAAGAAACTGGCTTGAAGATTTGAGGGACCTTGTAGATTTGTGCCAATGCACTAATTCAGTGAGGTAAGATGGTGCCAAACCATTAAGAGCCTTAAAAACAAAAATCAATAACTTAAGATGAATTCTAAAATGCGCTGGAAGCCAGTGGAGAGAAGCCAGTACCGGGGTTATATGCTCAAATTTCCTAGTACTTGTCAAGAGACGAGCAGCAGCATTTTGCACCATTTGGAGATGAGCGAGGGAGGACTGGTTAACACCTAGGATTGCAATCTCAAAATCATTAAATGAAAGGAATGACTTGACCTTGCTTAACAGCCTCAGGTGGAAGAAGCTAGATTTCACAACTGAGTTGATTTGCTTGTCAAATCTCAGGTCACCATCAAACATTACCCCTAGATTTTTTACAGTCGACTTCAGATGTTGAGCTAGGGGGCCCTGGTTAGAAGCAGTTAAGTTCGCCAGGTCACCAAATAGCATACATTCAGTCTTATTTTTGTTGAAAAGTTAAGTGCCAACCATGATTTCAAGTCTGTCAGACAAACAACGGCTGTAATGACATCCCTTTTGTTGCCTTTAACATTAAGTAAATCTGAATGTCATCAGCATAACAGTGAAAAAAAGGCCATATTTCCTGTGGCAGCATGTACAATGAGAACAAAATGGGACCAAGTACAGATCCTTTGGGGACACCACAGGAAAGGATAGTTGAGGAGGATGAACAGGTACCAATATTAACAGTAAAACTTCTATTGGTGAGATAAGATCTGAACCAGTTAAGAACAGCATCTTGAATTCCTACACACTGCTCCAAGCAAGATAAGAGGATTCCTTGATCCACTGTTTTGAAGGTGGAATGGTGGAAAGGTAGCTTGATTTGGCAGATTTTACAGCCTTCTGATAGTCAGAGAGACAATCCCAGAAATGGCGGAGAGAAACGTCAAGTTTATCCTTATTCCATTTGTGTTCAGCTTGCTGACATCTTTGTCTAAGTGCCTGAGTAGAGTCGTTTAGCCAAGGCACTGTTTGCATCTTTGCTGGTCTGTGTCAAAGAGGAGCGATGAGATCCAGTATGTTTTGGCAAGTGGTTGTTAATGAACTCAGTAGTTCCTCAGGATTTATGTAAGAGGAGACATCATCCATCAAATACAGACCAGAGTTTTTAAACTGAATCGAACACTCTCCTGCTGTAGAAGATGTGACAGTACGTCTAAAAGCAGCAG